TACACACAGTGGCATCCTGTTACTTGTGGGATCATCTTTTGCCAACAGGTTGTGTTCATATTTATACTAATAGTAGCATCAATAAAGTTCCTATTTAGCTTCTGTGTTTAACACATTTCTAAAAACAATCATAAGGAGAGACGAGCTTGATTTGCAAATGATCACACACCATGGGAGCTTCCTTTTAGTATATCTGCATTCTTCACACACTACAGAAGTTGGGCATTCCAAATGAATAGTCTGCAAATACATTTAGCACAGCAAGGCTTTGCACTCAATTCCAGTGTGGTGGGTGAGGGTACCACCCCTACCACCACCACCAAGTAATTCTCTGACACCAGCTCAGTGTCTTACAATTCAGCTCAATTTGGACACTACTAGGAAATCATTTCCGATTCCACAGGTTAAGGAGTCAGCCTTACCAGACTGCCTCTACTCCCACTAGAGATGCAGTCAGACCATCAGAGGTTCTGTGGCAAGAGAGTAAGAAACTAGGAAAATTCCTGGGCAAGTGGAATGGGAAAATTGAGACAAGATCATTAAACAAGGCCAAACAATTTGAATAATTTATGGTCAACTAGTTATCTTCCCTAACCAAGGATACGAGAGTAAATGGCTTATCTCTTCCCTCTCTAACCAGGGAATACATAGCTTAAATCACCCTGGTGGGAAGATAGAGGATAGAGACCAATTAATGCCATTTGTGCTAGCCAAACCCAAGGTCAGATGAAGTCAGGGGAACAAATATCCCCTGATTAGAGCAGACAGACCCAAGATAATAGTAAAACAGTAAAGCAGATGGAAGAATCAACTCCCCTACATGCTCATCTTGATGCATTAGCATATTAAAAACATATCTGGAAGCTAATGACTATTCTACTGAAACCCTCCCCTAAGATTCTCACCAGCAGAAGAAAAATAAAGCCCTCAAGACAAAGAACCCGTGCAGGCTCACTCCAGAGCCTGCCCATGCCCCTTCTTGGGCATGGCTTTTTACTTCTCCTAACTCTAAGGGTCCCATGAAACTTTCAACCAGGGAACATCAGGCAATGGGAGATCATCCAGGGCTTACCCCTTGATTCTGTTTCCAAGGCCCCATTTTTTCCGACTTCCCAGTGAGCTAAAAGCAACTTTACCTTGGTTTATCTATTTTCTGTAACATTTCTAGGGAGCTCGGGCAGAGCACTGCCTAGGGTCTCTCTGCTGTTGCTTCTTCTGCCCTAAGTCCTTCCTTTGTTTCACTGTACCCGGCTTTAATAAACATGCTCTCAAAATCCCGGGGCTCATGCTGTGAAATCTTTCCTAAACAAGTCAAGAACCCAAACACTGGAGGCCAGCCTGCGGTCCAGTCCCCATCTAGTAACAGTTCCCGTGACCCACTCTTTGGGTTTGATTAATTGGCTAGAGTGGCTCACTGAACTCAGACAAATGTTTTACTTACTAGATTACCAGCTTTTATAAAAGGATACAATGCGAGAACAACCAGATGGAAGGATGCAGAGGGCCATGCATGGGAAAAGAGAGGCAGAGTTTCCTGTCCTCTCCAAGGGCACCACTTTCCCCAAATCTCCGTTTGCTCATCAACCTGGACGTTTTCCAAACCCAGGACTTTTGAACTGTAATGGAGGCTTCATTATATAGTCAAGACTGATGAGTTCAACCAAAGCCCTCTTGCCTCCCCAGAGGTCAAGGTGTGGGACTGAAGGGTCCAAACTTCTAGTCACATGGTTTAGTCCCCAGGCAACCAGCCGCCATCCTTACCTGCCCTCCAGAAGTTGCCTTATTATCATAACAAGAGACACCTCTGTCACTCTTATCACTTAGGAAATTCTAGGGATTTTGTGAACTCTGGGCCAAGAAGAGGACAAAGACTAATGTCTATCATCTCTCTCTTTCTATACACACACACACACATTATATATTATTATAAAAAGAGTATCACAACAGGACATCCAATTTCTTAAAGGCAATAACAAAGATTCACAACAAATTCACAGTTAATAGCTCAATACACTGTTTTGTTTAAAAACTACATAATCCTTTTTATAAAATAAATGGAATAAATGAGAAAGAAAAAAAATTCAAAGTCTAAATTTTATGTCCCTGTTTTCTAGGTGAGAATCTGGAGCATCTTTCATTAACTTCCTGCTGTTCCTTCATCAGGTGGTACACTATTTGATTCCATCTGAAGTTTGAAGACGATGCCTTCATGCAAGATCTCTCTGTCTTTCTATTGTATGATCATAAAAAGTCATGGAAAAATTTGAAACCTCAGTATCCTCAGGGTAGAGTACACAGTTAGTCAGGTATTCACAAAAAGGAGGGAGGAAATGAAACTGTCACCCCGGGGAGTAACCAGCATCTTTCTGCCAAATGGAACAAAACATCCTGCCTAGTTGACTCTGCAGGAAAGATCGTTGTGCCAGATTCATGGGGGAAGGGAGAAGATGGAAACAGAAAGTGTGAATTCCTTCCAGGTGTAGTAGAAGCCAAATGACAAAGTGGGACTATGAGGAAATCACCCCAGGCGCCAAAATGGGGAGGGCAAAGCCTGGGAAAGTCCAGAGAAGAAGTGGATTGGAAAATCCAGGACAGAGATTGCATAGGGGGAGGGCACCGGCACATGTTCAGGCACACCAGGAAAGAGACTGGGCAGTCTGAATGAAAGCCTGCTCTTTCCAGAACCCAAGAAAATATATGGATTAAAAAATTATCATACCTTTGATTTTTATTTTTATTTGTTATTATGTGTTTGTTTCAGGTGTACAGCTTAGTAGATAAACTATCATATACTTTCCTAACCTTTCCCTCGATATCTTCAGCTGGCACTACACACAGTTAAACAGTATTATTGACTATATTTCCTATACTTTACTTACTTCCCCATGACTATTTTGTAACTACTAATTTGTACTTCTTAGTCCCTACACCTTTTTCACCCAGTGTCTTCACCCACCCTCCCCTGGGCAACCACCAATTCTCTTTCCGTATTTATGAGTCTGTTTCATTTTTGTTTGTTTGTTTTCTTCTTTAGATTCCACATATAAGTGAAATGATATAGTATTTGTCTTTCTCTGACTGTCTTATCTCAGTGAGCATGATACCCTCTAGGTCTATCCAGGCTGTCACAAATAGTACGATTTCATTATTTTTTATGGCTGAGTAATATTCTGTTGTAGTATGTACCACAGTTTTTTTGTGCCCTTGTCTATTGATGGGTTCTTGGGTTGCTTCTATAGGTGGCTATTGTAAGAAGATACATTTTTTTTATAAATCCCCTATTTCATTTCTAGGAAATAAGATTAAACCTAAGAAAATTTTTATATTCCTTCATCTGTTTCCTTCCGGGAAAAAGATTTGACTATTACAGGCTGATCTAAGTAGGGGAAATACTATTCCCTCCCTCAATTATTCAATGGTTCAGGGCATATAATCCAGAACTGTTTTGGGATTTCTGTACCCTCTTCTGTGAGGGAACAGTCACACCCTCCCTTGCATGTTAGGGAAAACAAGTCATGACAATGCTGTCCCAACTGCTTAAGCCTTGAGCACATTTGAAACTCCATAGTGACCCCAAATGTAGGCTAGTTGTCAGTCTGCACATCTTGGATCATTCTCCATAAATTTTCATAGAACCTGGGTTTTACAGTAGAGCTCTTTTAAATGAAAATTGGGGGTGGCATCAATCCTAAGTCATTCAGTTTCCCTTCCCTCAAGTTTCCCTATAATTGGATCCATTTTTGTGCCTATTTACTCTCTACTAGGAAGCCAACAACCTAATCAGATTTCTGTCCTCAGTGATGCTCTGTACTATCTTTGCTTCACAGGTCTTCTAGACACCCATTAGTATATGTACACACACACACACGTACACACACACACACACACACACACACCTGTTTTCAATGCAACAGTGCTTTAGGGCCCCTTCCCCCTGACAATGACCCTGGAACATACCATGACATTTTATTCTATAATTAGTGTGCTGTTGTGATCACAAACATTCCTGATAAACTGTGGTCATGGGGCTGATGCTGGGAAGCATGCAAAAAGATGTGCTATCATTTGTGTCACGTTTCCTTGGAGATATTTAGCATATGAAGCTTACTTGGGGTCCCACAAACAATTCTCATTCTTAAAGTAAAACTTGGGTTCTACTTCCTCTTTCTTATATGTGTTATGAAAAAAAATCTAGGGAATTTTCTTTTATGTAAACTTTCAGAAAGGAAGAGCACATGTATGGGGGGAAAATCTTGAAACTGAAAACAAAATACCAGGTACTGGGCTCTCTAGGTAGCCAAACCCTTCACCTATTTGATGTTCAGATTCACTAATATTTACATCTTTATTTGAAATGAGGGAGACAATATCCTCTATACTTCATGCATTATGCCTTGTATGTAATCAGTGGTGAATCCACGTTTTGTTAAATTAAGGACTCCCAGGTTTTTTTCCTGATGTACATATGTGTATAGTTACATCAATGAAACATTAAGACACTTAAACCACATGCAAATAAGCAATAATTACCTTGCCGTTAATGAGACTGGATTCTTTGTTTGCTTTGCGTATTGTTTTAATAATTGATTGAAATAGAAGTAAAGTGAAGAAGTGAAGAATTAGTAGCTCATGTTTAGTTTTGCGGGGAAGACACCCACCAGGCTGGCTGGAGACGTAAGAAAGCAGGGAAAGGAGTTAAACAGAGAACGAGGGACCCGGTTATGCCATCCAGCTGAATTTTGTCAACCTAAGAACTCTAAGTCATGTGATTTGAATATGGGGCAGGTGTTCAACTGGACCTTGCACTTCAGGAGCAAGGAGGTTAAAACAATGTTACTTCAAGAGGTAGCAGATGCTCGTGTATGATTATTAAAATTAGGATCTCAAGTATAGTTAAAACCAAATGAAATTCAGAAAAAGTCACTGAAGCAAAGTAAGGTAAAAGATACCATGCAGCAGATATTTTCCCAAGAGCATATGATGATTGTAAATAACAAAGGTTATAGTATCTCAGTCTTACAAAAACAACTGGCTTTGCATTGCAGTTGAACTGATAATTGGCTGCATCCAGGAACTTTCGTTTGTATCTTACAGTCAGTGTATTCATCATAGAAGAGGCAGGGGTTAGCTGAAAAGAAAAAAGCATGTTTACTCATCAGCTCAAAAACTTATAGTCAGTGAGGAAAGATATCACCTTCTTAAAGACATAGACATACGATTTATTAACAAAAGGCAATTAATTATGATTATCATGATTAGAATGAAAAACAGGTAATTAGTTAAATGAGGTAAGTTATTAAAGAAAAAAGGTGAAAGTCTGGTATGATATTAAACAAGTTTCTTTAATCACATTTTTTTTTTCTGGTAAGACATATCTAAGCAGATTGGAAATGAATCATCTTTATCAATTAGAATGTCATTTTGAAATCATCATCATAAAGTATACATAATGACGTGATAAATGTTTTCTTTATTCATTGTAGTCTGCTTATAAAATGCTCTACCATTTAACAGGTTAGACATTGCTTTGGATTATTAAAATTAATGTACAGCTTTATATGCTAGGGTTTATTTCGGGGCTCTCAATTCTATTCCATTGGCTCATGTCTGTCTTTACACTGATTACTATAGCTTTGTAGTAAGCTTTGAAATCAGAAAGTGTAAGTTATCTAGCATTTTTTAAAGAAAAAAATTGATACATAGCCAATGTAAGAATTGTATAAAATCCACACATATAATAGCAAAATTTCTCAAATAATCTCTTTACCGAGAGGTTTTCTTAAATAACAATACCTCGGTCTCTATCCTATGAACAGGCACATACATACATCAGTATTACTTTGAGTAAGTTATCCATCATCATCCCACTATCTTTCGCTATGCAGTATTTTAGAGAAATATGATGTGATGCATTTCTTTTCTTTTTATGTAACATGTGTTTTTCTTTGACTTCTCTAAATTATTTTCATTATACTTTTTTCTCTTATTCTTTACTCTCCCTAGTTTTACTGAGGTATGATTGATATATAACATTGCATTAGTTTCAGGTGTGCTATACAATAATATGATGTATATATATACTTTGAAATGACTACCAATTAGTTTAGTTAACATTCATAACCTTACATAGTTATACTTTTTTTCTTTTGATGAGAACTTTTAGGATGTACTCCTTCAACAACTTTCAAATATACAATACAATATTTTTAACTACAGACAAAATGCTATACATTATATCACCAGAACTTATTCTTCCTGTAAGTGGAAATTTGTACCTTTTGATCACCTTAACTCATTCTTCACCCAACCTCATAGCCTCTGAAAACCACATACAAATGAGGTAGTATAGTATTTATGTTTCTCTGTCTGACTCATGCCACTTAACATGTTCATACAAATGGCAGGTTTACTATTTTTGTGGCCAATTAGTATATCACATTTTCTTTATCCATTTTTCTGTCAATAGACAGGTTGTTTCCACAACCTAGCTATTGATAATAACAATGAACATGAGGGTGTAGATATCTTTTTGAATTGTTGCTTGCAGTTTCTTTGGATAAATAACTAGAAGCAGAATTGTTAAGACATATGATAGTTTCATTTTCAAATTTTTTAAAATATTTTTTCTTTATTGATTTTAGAGAGAAGAAGTGAGAGGGAGAGAGAGAGAGAAACTTCGATGAGAGAGATTGATGGGCTGCCTCCTGCATGCCCCCCACGGGGGATCTGGCACACAACTTGGGCATGTGCCCTGACCGGGAATTGAACTGGTCACTTCTTGGTGCATGAGTTGATGCTCAACCACTGAGCCACACCAGCCAGACTCATTTTTGATTTTAATACTTTTAAGAATGCCCATACCATTTGCCATAATGACTGCACCAATTTACGTCCCCTTTTACAGTGTACAAAGGTTCCCTTTTCCCCACATCCTCTCCAACACTTGTTATCTCTTGTCTTTTTTTGTAATAACCATTCTAACAGGCATGAGGTAACAATTCATGGTGGTTTTGATTTGCATTTCTGTGATGATCAGTGATGTTCAGTGTCTTTCTATGCGCCTAATAGGAGAGAATGTCCGAGGGTCAAGGGCAGTCATTTTCTTTGGAAAATGTTCTAGTTCCTCTGCTCATATTTAAATAATTTTTTTTCTATTGAGTTGCATGAATTCTTTATATATTTTGAATATTTGGATAATAATCCCAAATCAGATACATGATTTGTAAAGCTGCCTTTTCATTTCATTGACGGCTTTCTTGGCGGTGCAGAGCTCTTAGTTTGATGTGGTCCCACTTGTTTATTTTTGCTTCTGTTGCCTTTGCTTTTGGTATCAAATTTAGAAAGTCATTGCCAAGGCCACTCTCAAAGATATTGCCTTCATGACGTCTTCTAGGAGTTTTATGGTTTCATGTTTCATATTCAAGTCTTTAATCTATACTGAGTTAATTTTGTAGATGGTATAAGATAGTGGTCCTGTTCCATTCTTTGGCAGGTGACTGTCTAGTTTTTCCAACACCATTTATTGAAGAGACTATCCTTTCCCCTTGTAAATATACTTGGCTCCTTTGATGTAAATTAATTGACTACTTATGCATTGGTTTATTTCTGGGCTCTCTCTTCTGTCCCATTGACCTATGTGTCAGTTTTTATGAAAATTCCTTACTGTTTTGATGACTAAATTTTGCAATATAGTTTGAAATCAGGAGTGTGATACTTTCAGCTTTATTTTTTCCCCTCAAGATTGCTTTGACTATTTGAGGTCTTTTGTGGTTTCATACAAATTTTAAGATAGATAGTTCTTTTTCTGTGAAAAATGCCAATGGAATTTTGATAGGGATAGCATTAAGTCTATAGATAGCTTTGGGTAATGTGTACATTTTAATAATATTAATTCTTACAACTCGTGAGTATATATTTTCATTTACTTGAGTCTTCTTCAATTTTTTTCATCAATGTATTATAATTTTCAATATATAGATCTACTTTCTTGCTTAAATTTATTCTTAGGTATTTTATTCTTTTTGAGGTAATGGTGACTGTGATTGTTTTTAATTTTTTTCGATAGTTTTTTTCTGGTTTGTGTATATAAATGCAACTGAATTTTATACATTGATTTTGTATCCTGAAGCTTTACTGAATTTAATAATGAATTCCAGCAGATTTTGGTAGAGTTGTTAAAATTTTCTACATACAATATCATCTCATCTGCAACTAAAAATGTTTTACTTCTTTATGCCATTGTAAGGTCAGACAGGTTGGGAAATTATGGAGCATTAACAAATCTGAGAATACTGGTAATCTGAAAACAATATGTATAATTTAAGGGCTGTAATAAGAGAGCCCCAAATTTTTTTATAGAGCCTAGAAAATTTTATACTCATGTTAATATTTTATTTAGGGTGTCCCTCTTAGAGTCTTTAAATTTTAAGACAGATACTTGACTTTATATCTAGACATTCTAAGGTCCATTCCAATATATTTAATCAATGGTCTTGATCACTCTGGGGAGAAGAAAGAAAAATCAAATAATGTCGATCTTTCCTGTTAAAAGATTGAGATGAAAGTTACAGAAAAGTGCTATAGTATCACATGCCTGACTTAAAAGACACATGGCTCCCAAATCAACAGTCAACATTAAACAAATTGAGATGTAAAACTTACTACAAAGTTTATTGTCACAGTTTTGTGGACATTCTTTACATGGATTTCCTAGCCTATAAGGTTTATTCCTCAATTCAGGATCATTTCCCCTAAAAAAAAAAGAAAGAAAGAAAGAAAGAAAGAAAAAGAAAGAAGTTGTTTAATAAAATTGATGTTTAGAAAATACATATTAAATAGACTCACTATTTACAATCAACTGTAAAAACAATTTTTTTTAGAGAGAGGGAGAGAGAGAGACAGAAACATTGAAGAGAGAGAACATTTATTGGCTGACCCCTGCATGCCCCCCACTGGGGATCAGGCTCACATCCTGGGCTTGTGCTCTGACCAGGAATCGAACTGGCAACCTCTTGGTGTATTGGTTGATGCTCAACACTGAGCCACACCGGCCGGGCTTTAAAAACAATTTTTGAAAACCACTAGGAAATAACAAGGGTAATCTTTAAGATGAGTTTAATATTTCTAGACTTAAAATGATGATCATTTATCTTTTTAAATGTACAGCAGTGAACTCTGGTGTCCTACGAATATTTTGAAGCAGTTTGCACCCTTTGGACAATCCAGTCCTATGTGGCAGAATGGCTTTAGAGCCATTTACAATAAGACATTTTTTTTATACCCATAAGAACTTGATAAACAGTCACGTAAATACATGGTTTTTAATAATGGTAAGATAAATTTTAAGTGAGTGGAGATGTTCTAATTTTATCTTGCACTATGTCATAAGAAACTTGATACATGTTAGTGTCATTTATAGAAACACATGAAGTATACAAAATAAAAGTACACCAGCATGGCTCAGTCTAAAGACCTGGAGGAGAGTGAGTAGGTAAGGACTTTCCAGTTCTGAGATAGTTGGAAATTTCAGAGCAGACATGCTTACTTGCAGATATCTAAGAAAACAATGTGGATTATAGTTGATTCGTACTTGATATCACTTAACAACTAAAGTTCTTTCTGGCTGAAAGGACATTCTATCTAATATTTTTTTTTCTCTGTGGTATTTGAATTTTGAAAATGCTTACCTTATAAAAATTTATTTCTTAGTTCTGTAAGGGATTCTGTCAGATACATGGCAAAATCTTTTGCCTAGAAAATTATTTTACCACAACTCCATACATTGCTTTTTTTTTTTTAATTTTCAGAAATTCACCACGGACCACCAACCTCTCAAGGATTTAGCACAATTCATGTCATAAATGCAAGCAGATATGACTTTTTTCATCATTAATTACATAGATAAAATCACAACAAATATTAACTGCTAAAATTAAGACATAATAAGACTAGAAATAACTCATATGGTGCTAGTATGTGAATATGTTATATAAATGGAATCTACAGTGACTTTAGAAACCACATGTAAAGTGTAAAGGTGTAGCATATGATCAGATAAATCTCTTTTCATTGATTCACATTGAATATCTTGCACTGTGTTACACACATGGGAGACCACGGTAAAAAAACCATGAGGACAAAGGGGCATACCTCTCCTTCACTGAAGCAATCAGATTATTTCTTCCAGGAATTGGTACTCTAATTGTTGATAATATGTACATCTTATTTCTAAAGAAAATACATATACCAATAGTTACACTAAAAAGCTAAATACAAGACCATTTGGCTATTTCTGTTTATTGTTTTGTTATCGTTAATCCTTTCCCGAGGATATTTTTCCACTGATTTTTCATCATTGATGTACAAGAATGCCGTCGATTTCTTGACGTTAATTTTGTATCCTGCTACTTTGCCAAATTCATTTATTAAGTCTAATAGATTTTTGATGGAGTCTTTAGGGTTTTCTATGTACAATATCATGTCATCTGCAAATAATGACAGTTTCACTTCCTCCTTTCCAATTTGGATCCCTTTTATTTTTTCTTCATGTCTGATTGCTGTGGCTAAGACTGCCAGTACAATGTTAAATAAGAGTGGTGAAAGTGGACATCCCTGTCTTGTTCCTGTTCTTAATGAAAATGTTTTTAGTTTCTGTCCATTGAGTATGATGTTGGCTGTAGGTCTTTCATATATGGGCTTTATTATGTCGTCCACTGATTTTTATAGAGAGTGGAGGGAGGGAGGGGAAAAGAGAGAGAAAGAAACATTGATGTGAGAGAGACAAATCAATTGGTGGCCTCTTGCACAAACAGAGATCGAAACTGCAACCCAGGTACGTGTCCTTGACCAGAAATTTAACATGCTCCAACTTCTGAGTCAAACTGGCCAGGGATTTTCTGTTTATTCTTGATACTCCACTGCATTTCTTCCCTTGCATTATAGAAGTACTCTACATTGCTGAAGAAAATTTTCCTGTTTTTTGCTTAAGCTAGCTCAATAACACATAGCAAGACTGGTTGTAACATTTCTGAATTTAAATATTCTGTTAGTGATATATAGATTTATTTAGAAAAATATGTAAAAAAGAGTGTGTGTGTATTGTTTTAGGTAATGGCTACATGACCTTTTATCTCTAAAATTCTGCTTAACTGAAATTCAATATTTATTTAGTTTTTATTTTATGTTTGAGAAAATAGAATAGGGGAAGGAGTTATATTTCTAAAATCTATGTGAACCCAAGCTGTATAATACATACTCATGACAATAGTGACAAACATAGAAATATTGAGGTAACTTTCTTTTGCAGCATGGTGATGCACCACAGCCAATGAGGTAAGAAGTAGCCCAAACAACCTGTAAATTTAAAGAGATTATTTTGTTAATAATTTGATATTTTGATAAATGATTATTATATGATTATTATTATTTATGATTGAAAATAAACACCTCTGCTAAATGGATACTTTGAGCATAGCTTATTAGGAAGTCATAAAAACAGAAAGATCCCATGTGTCTAGTTAACACACATATATGCACACTCAGTGGCCATCATTGACCCTGGTTCATTCTCTTCTTCTTCCCAAATCTACATGGAAAATCAGATAACATGATGAAGGTGGCTTGGTGATTATATAAAAATCAATGTATGGAAGAAACTTTACTTAAGCATCAGAGAACAGGCACAGTGGAGTGTAATGAGTTGGCAAAATGGCTCAGGTTGAAATTCTATTTCTAACACTTCCTGGTGGGATGGTATCTACCATATTATAGTTTTGTAGGACAATGTAAAAAATATATCTTTTTCTATAGAGATAAACAAATTTGACAAAATGTGAAAAATTTATGAGTCTAAGTAGGAAGAGTATTTATTATGTCTTTAATGAAACCCTTTTGTGGGGTTAAGTGCTTTTAAATAAAAAGCTGGTCAAGAGGGTGATGGCAGAAAGATGTTGTATTAGGAAGTTCCAAGCCCTTATTTTCTTATGGATATATTAAAAATAACTACTAGCTCATGGCTAAAATAACTTTATAGAAGCTGTAGAAAGCTATCAAAGATTTGTGGCAACCAAATGAACACCTAGTCAAGAAAAAGCCACAATCATTAAGGTAAAAAATTAAAATGAGTTTTTACTCTCCCTTGACATATTGCCTCTCTGAACAGCATGGTTGGAAAAAAATGGTTTAGATTTTTTTCCTCACTTGGACTGGAGGAAGTAATAAAGGAGCTTATTTGTAGCGTTCCAACCTCCTCTATGCTTCCCCAAAAGATATTCTTTATTTTATTTATTTTTTTCATTATTTAGAGCTCAGATGGTAAACAGTGGCATACTTCAGATCTCAGGCTAGGAAAAGCCACAGGAAACAGTATGCCTAGCCCATTACAGCTAAAAAGGGACTGCAAACCCCTTGATACCTGGGACAAGGGACCATGCATAATGAAATATATAGAACATTTAAAGTGCCAAGAAGAAGGTAGGATGAGAAATTGTGGGAAATTAAGACATTTAAAAACAACTATGCATTTGGGGGAATTAAAAAAAATAAATAATCAAAGATATAGTCTCAGGCATGATACATGCTCAGAAAAATAACATAAGATGACTTCTAAGTTTTACCCTGATCTGATCTTCAGTCTCTGCTAATCAATTTAATCAAGGTCTTTCCTACCAGTCAGCAAAGACTGGGAGAAGTTGCTCTTTTGGTTCAAATGTCCTGTTGTCAACAACAACAAAAAAGCACAAAGTATATAAAGAAACAGAAAAATGTGCCCCATTAAAAGAAACACCAGAAATCATCCCTGAGTATATACAACATTAGACATACTTTACATAGATTTTGAAACAACTATCTTAAATATGCTTAAAGAGCTAAAAAAGAAGAAAAAAAAACACAAAACAAAACAACAACAACAAAACACACACACACATACAAGAAACTAAAGTAAATCAGGGAAACAATATCAAAATAAGACTGTCAACAAAAAATGCAAAGTTTTTTTTTTTAAAGAATTGAAGAAATTCTAGAGTTACAAATACAATAAATTCAAAAATTTAGTAGAGGTGATCAGTAATAGATTTGAACAGGTGGAAGAAAGCATCAACCAACTATAAAACAGCTCATTTGAAATGATCATATCTGACTAGCAAAAAGAAAAAAGAATAAGAAAACTCAACAGAGTCTAGGGAATTTGTGCAACATCATAAAGTAAACAAATATGTACATTTTGGGAGTGCAACAAGAAGAATATAGAATAAAAGGAATAGAGAGATTATTTAAAGAAATTATTGTTTAAGATTTTCCAAATTTGAGGAAAGAAATGGATGTACAAATCCCAGAAGCTCAATGATCTCCAAGTAGAATACAACCAATACTAAGATATATTATATTCAAACTGTCAAAAACTAAAGACTAAGAGAGAATCTTGGAAGCAGAAAAAATTATAGTGATTCATCATGTACAAGAATCTCCAATAAGATAACTAGAGGGTTTCTCAGCAGAAAACTAGCAATATAGAAGACAGTGGTATATTTAAAGTTCTAAAAAAAAAAAAAAGTGAACCAAAAAATTATATGTTTTGCAAAAACTGTCAGTCAATATGAGGGAGATATTAAGATATTCTGAGCAAAATAAAATCTGATGGAGTTCCTTGCCACTGGATCTGCCTCACAAAAAATTCTGAAGGGAATCCTTCAAGTGAATAAATAAAAAGTAACTAGACAGTAACTTGAAGACAAATGGAAATATAATGATCTACAGTAAGGTAGATACATGGTCAAATATAAAAACCAAGATCATCAAAATATTATTTTGTAGTGCAATTTTATAGAATTTAAAAGATAAATGCATACAAATAATAATAAATTTATCTTAATAGCTGTGCAGTTACATAATGGGGTGCTGAAGCTGTATTTGAGTAGTTTTCGTATGCAACTGCTTACTAGTTTAAAACAGATTATTATAATTTTAGAATATTGCATATAATTCACATTGTAATCAAATAGAAAATATATATATGTGTGTGTGTATATATCATATAACAAAAGGGAATCAATATGTGCCACTATAAAAAGTCCATTAAAAAAACAACAAAAAAGGTGGTAATGGAGAAAATGAGGGACAAAAAAGCAGAAAACAGTTTCCAAAATGATAAAAGTAAGAAATAAACAAAACAGTCCAGCCAATAACTATAGAATCTACTTTTTGTCAAGTATACATGGGAAAAATCTCCAGGATAGACTATATGTTAGGCTACAAAACGAGTCTTAATACATTTAAAGTTTGAAGTTTAACGAAGTATCTTTTCTTATCATAAAGGAATGAAACTAAAAATCAAAAGCTGAAAGAAAACTAGAAAATTTGCAAATACGTAAATATTAAAAGAGCACATTTTATTTATTTATTTATTTATAATGAAACATCTTTTTATTTATTTTTTATTTAATTAACTTATTTGTTTTTGTTACAGATGTTTCTCCTTTCCCCCCCCACTGATTACCCCCTCCCCCCCCCCCCCCCCGTCCCCAGCTTTATTGTCCATATCCATTGTAAAAGAACACATCTTTAAAATGGGTAAGAAATGACATGGAGAATTAGAAAATGTCTTAAGAAAAGAATTAAAATTCAACATACTAAAATTTAAGATTAAAGCAGCCAAAATAGTCCTAAGGGAGATTCATAGCTATACATGATTATATTAGAAATAAAATGTCAAATCAATCATCTACAATTTTACTTTAAGAAACTACAAAAACCCCCACAAAGCTAGTAGAAGGAAATATGAGTATAGAGTAAAATAAAGAATAGAAAAACAAATAAATAAAACAAAAAGTAGGTTCTTCAAAGAGATCAATATCATTGATAAATTATCTAAATTAACTATGAAAAAAGAGAATAATCAAATAAATTATATAATAAATATCAGAGTAAAGATAAAATAAAAACGAGAAAAACAATAGAGAAAATTAATGTAACTAAAAGGTGATTCTTCAAAAAGAGCAACTGCAATGAAAAAAATTTTGGACAAAAAAAAGAAAAGCTCTGCTTCTGATGGTTTCACTGGTGAATTATACCAAATATTTAAAGAATAACTAATACCAATAATTTTTTTTAATCCTCACCCAAGAATATTTTTTTATTTATCTTCAGGTAGAGTGGGAGGGAGGGGGAGTGGGAAAAAGAGGGAGAAAGGAAGAACCATCGACATGAGAGAGACACATCAACTATTTGCCTCCTGCATGACCCCAACCAAGGCTGGGGATGAACCACAACCGAGTTGCATGCCCCTGACCAGAACTGAACCCAGGACTCATTGGTTTGCAGGCCAACACTCAAACCACTGAGCCAAACTGGCCAGGGCAATACCAATAATTGTTAAAAGTCATCTAAAGTTTTCAAGATGAGAAAGAACTTTTTAACAACTATTATGAGGCCAGCATTATTTGAATGCTGGAGACAGACACAGACACTACAAAATCAATCAATCAATCAATCAGTAAATAGATAATTAAAAAAAAAACTAGAGACCAATATTTCATATGAACAGGGATGTAAAACTCCTCAACAAATTAAATTCATAAGCACATAAGCAGTATACACTATGAGCAAATAGGATTTATTCCTGCAAAGAATGGTTTAACACATCAAAATCAATCAATGCAGACCACCACATTAACATAATGATGAAAAAAAAAATTACATCAATTGAAACAAATAAAAAGCAATTTATGAAATTCAACAGCCTCTCATGATAAAATAATGTTCAACAAACTAGTGATGAAAAACTATTACAACACAGTAAAAACCCTATATGTACATCTCTGTTAACATCATAATAATAAAGAAGGAATTATTTTTCTAAGATCAACAAATTCTATGAAACATAGTGCTGAAAATTCTAGCCAGAGCTACTAGATAAGAAAAATAATATATATCATTCATTATAGAAATAAAACAGTGAAGTGATCTCTGTTCATAGATGACATAATCTTAGGTAGAAAACTCTAAGAATACCACAGAAATATTTTAGAATTTATAAACAAATTCAGCAAATCTGCAGAGTACAAAATTAGCACACGGAAATCAATTGTGTTTCTACCACTTGTAGTCAACAATTCGAAAAAAAATTAAGAAAACAATTTTATTTAAAATAGCATCAAAACAAGATCAATGGACCTTTAGCCAGACTCATCAAGGAACAAAAAGAGAGGTCCCAAATAAACAAAATCAGAAATTAAAGAGGATAATTAACAGCTGGCACCACAGAAATATAAAGGGTCATTGAAACATAACATGAACAATTATACACCAACAAATAGGACAATCTAGGCAAAATGGACAAATTTCTAGAAACACAC